AAAAGGGGGAATGATGGGTTCAGGTTTAGGAGGTAAAAAATGTCATGTGGGTTCGCCCTTCGAATGAGCAGGGGCACGTGCCCTCTCAAGCGCGAAATGCAACTGCAACTGCAGCAACGGCGAGATGCCCCCGACTTTGGACTTGATCTTCTCGGGCGCCCTTCCCTTTTTTCTTTATTTTTTTTCTTCTTCTGTTTTTGCCGCTCATCTGGAGTATCTGGGTATCTGGGTATCCGAGTATCTGAGTATCTCCTCCCATCCAGCTATCTCTATCTCATTGTGTGCACTTCCGGCGCTGCGGTTGAGTGTGCTCTACCTTCGCTATATCTCTCCCTGTTCCATCGTCATTGTCGTCATCATCATCATCGTGATCATCGTGATCATCTTTTCTTTAATTGCTTTTGCACTGTCCTGGCGTTCCCGCAGGTTTTCCTTATTTTCTTCAGGGCCCTCTTCTTTATTACAATGGTAGTTGGTACATGTTATATATAGGGTTGACTTCTGCTGCTTTTATTTTTTTGTTCTTTTCCTATTAAAACGTCCCCGGCATTGCAGTTAAATTAGATTAAGCAGTCATGCACATGTCTTCCCTTCTTCCCGCTCCCTGCGATGTCTTACCTTTAATTTTCCTGCCCTCTGGAGCGTCAGTTGCGAGGCCCTTGGATTCTAGGATGGGGATGGGGTCGGACAGCAGGATCTTACATGGTTTTGGTAGGACAGTGACATCGGTTAATGTTGTAGCTGTGGAGGGGGCAAAGGATTCTCGATAGAAGCCTTGGAAGCAGGGGACTGGGGAATCCTTAGATGGGCCTGTGAATGGAAATATGTGGTTTCCAGGAGTTATGAAAGTTTTTAGAAGGAATATTAAATGTCAATAAGGTAACTGACCTGGTAATTTTGATTTTAAATATTACAGTTTTCTATAAATAGTTTAATGTTCTTAAAACTATTTATAAATAGGTATATATAATATAAGAATTTAAAGGGTCTTTTAGGACTCCAGTTTCGTTTTAATTTAACAAACACTTATCAAGATGGGATTTCGTTGAAACTCTTGTACAAATAATTATTATTTTAATTATAAATAGTTTTTTGTTTTTTATTAAGTAAAGAAGTATGTTCTTAACTTTGCAACTTCCTTATATGTCTTGAAGTTCGAAGTCATGCTTATTGGATTTTATTACATTTTGATAATGTAGGTTATTAATTTATCTCAGATGGTTTAATATTTAGAGAATCATTTCAAGGGGTATTTTAATTTGCTTTTGGTATTCCTTTAAAATACTAGTTTTATCTTATTATTTTTAGATGGGTCTTGTGAAGTAGCTTTTGTATTTTAAATTAAAATGATATTGCCTTCGTTTGCTTTACGGTATAAATTGCAGTGACTCATACCTACAGACCCCTAAGATCCTTCAGCTGCGATATTTGCCCCTGCCCCAAATGATGCTGCTCATTCCGCTGCAGTTGCAACTGCCGGGCAAACTGGCCTTGGCAACTGCCACAGTATCCTGATGCTGCAGCACAGGGCGGCTAACAGGTAGCGATCGTTGAACCTGTTCCTGCGGAACCCCGACCCTCGGGTTTAATGGGCCAGGCAGGCCAACAGGTGCATCACAGGATCGAGAGGGAAGGACTCGGGGATTCTTGCACGCGCTGCATCCCTGCCACACATGATCGCAACTCGTAAATAAATGAAACCGAGGGGCACGTGCCGCTCAATGTGCAAGGATCTCCCCCTTTGGCAATTCTATCTGCAACTGCAACGTCATTGCCCTCCTGCAGGATCCGTTTCTTATTCTTTCTCTGTTCCTCTTCCCTTTTCCGATCATCACGATGGTGATTATGATGATGATGATGATGCGGTACTACCTGTTCTTGGTAGTCAATCCCCCATCTCTCTCCCAAGTCCTCCTTTTGACGTCCTTTTCCCAATGCAAGCTGCATTTCTGCGGTTTCTTGGCTCGTGCCTGGCCTCAAAAACAATCCAGCTTTGGCTCCAATTTAGGCCAACACTGGGGAAAATACACATTTCCTTTTCAATTAAAAATAACCAGTTTCATTGCCTTTGACAAAGTACATAGGCATTTGTACTTTTCTCTTATTAAATAAAATGATAAGACTTGTTTGGGTAACATTTTTAATGATATATATTTAAGTATTGAATGACATAACCCTAAGCCTTTAAAATAACTAGTGATTCTCGCTGTGTGTGCGGACAGCTGAGATCGGGCTTTATAATTAACTGGACGATCGGCTTGGCCGCAGCATCCCTCGAAAAAGACAGCTGAAATCGACTGGCTGTCTGGATGTCTGGCTCCACTTCATCATCGCCTCGTGCCAATGGCCCAATTAGGCAACCAATTATGACTAAATAGGCGCACCTTTCTCCGACCCTCGTGGGTCGAGTGTTTTATGGGCACTTCGAATCGGAGGGTCTCAGCACGCCCACAATCGGACAAATCATTGCGTAACTAGGTCTCGGGACCTCTCCACTCTTCGGTCAGGGTGAAAAAAAGGATCAGCCAAAACATCTGTCCCGGCAATCTGTTGTTGTATCACACCTTTAAAGAGGTTGGGGTCACAAAAGCGGGGCAAACAAGAGTGGGAAGAGAAATGGGATTATGCACTGAAAGAAATGGGATTATGCTTGTTATATTACAAGCCAAACACTATTCTTAATATAGTAGGTGTTTTAATGATTTTTATTTAAATGTTCTATTAATAATCCAATTGACATTCTTACACTTTTAATTTTGTTTGAATAAACATTACTGGTTTTAAAACCTACCCATTGGTGCTTTATTTCTTTATGTGTACTGCATTTTATTTGATGAATTCATAAGGGGAGGGGAAAGTGAGCGATGTAGACTAGGAAAGGAACGACCAATAAGTGTCCATAAATCAGTGGGGCCAACACACGCTCGTGGACACACAGCTGCTATTCTCTTTTTCTCTTCAAGAATCAAACAGAAGTTCCAATCAGTTTCATTTACTCTAAAAAATACTAGAAACATGAAATAGAGTTGCGAATGTCGCACGATGTCAGTAACCCTCAAGGAAAACAAACAAACTCCCCTTCCCAAGAAAACAAAGAATCGTGGGAATTCTAAGGGAAATCAGGAAAACAAAAATTTAACAATTGAAAACGAAAAATTTAGTTTTAGTTTCCTATAAATGTTTCATATATACTTAGTCTTAACTAATGAACCTTTACAAAACATTAAGTTCCAGTCTTAATTAAACTGAACCACCTACGCATTTGTGAGTTAATTTCTTAGTGTACTAATGTTACTTGGACTGAAAACTCTGAGGTTCCCCAGAGAATCGCATTTACGCACATGATATTTACATGTGCCTACGAGTTTGCATGTCTGCCAGATAGTATAGTATAGATACAAGAGATTAGAGAGCCTTTCATCCCCGTATTCCTTTTATGACCATCGTTTGCAGTATCCCCAGATCCCCAAACTGCCGCACGATGACTTGCTAAAAGCGGACATTGTTGATTCGTCCGGAGTTTCGGAGTGAATCGCTCCTGGGGTGGTGACACCCGAGTCCACCTCCCGGCCACACCCACAATATCCTACTCTATCCTGACACGTCAGACCCTGCCCTCTCACCTCCCAACTCCCCCTCCAACCTCATCCCTCCCCCCACCGATTTTTTCCAACTTTTACTATTTTCCCTCGACAAGTCCTGTGTGCGCACGCTTTTTATTTGTCCAACAAACAAACACAAATGAACAGCAGCAAGTTTCCAACCAACCTTCCACTTTTCCCAGTGGGCGGAAGCCAGACCATCGCGGGTAATCTTCTGTGCGAGTATGGGTTTTTGTATCTTGTGGATACTTTCGTTGGGCGCCAGTTGCACGAACCCACCGTGTGTAGTGTGTGTGTGTGTGTTAACGAACACAGCTGCCTGGCTGCTGCTGCTGGACACGGAAATATCGATCCGAAATATCGCCGTGAGTCACTGTGAGTGTTCGCATTTCTGCACTGCGAGGAAATTCCATCTGAAATATGGATTTGGTTCATATTTATTATATAAATCGATCATCAAGTTAGGAAAAAGTTTAAAAAACGAATTTTGTTCTTTAAATCAAGGTTGATATGTTTTAAAAGCTTAAATGCTGGTTACTTAAACACAAACAAATTTTACTAATTTGAAAAATTGTAAAATATGATGCTGATTGCAAAATTAAATATCCAATGTTGTCAAGGCAAAAACAATTGTTAAATTTATGTAACTTCGACCTCGATTAAAAGCATCAAATAAGGAAGAAGATTAATAGGGTTTTTCTCTACTTAAATACCTTTTTTTCAGTGTGTTTTGTAGGATAGTGTGGGGGCTAGGAACCCTTTTCTCCCTCCCTTTTTCCCCCGGAACTCTTTGGCCTGTGCAGTGAGGCATATATCCGGAGAACTTGCGCTCCGCTTCTCGATTCTCGTTTCTCCTCTCGGGGGTGATTTCAACTTTGGCCAGGACAAAACGGCCCAAAAGAGGAGGCTTTAACACTGAGAGAAATGGAGGAAAATTACTCTCAAAACAAGAAAGAATCTAATACTTTGAACTACAAAATTACGTTCCTGAATTTTGTCACGATTAAAATAAGCACACCTTTATAAAAGAATCAAAGGTAGATTGTAAATTTAACACTCCGAAATATTATGTTAGCTGTCTTTGCAAGTAACTTAAGCATTTGGATTCAGTTTGACAATCAATTTTTCTTTAACATTCCGAAATTATTCATAGCAGCACCATTTGAGCTTATCCTCTTCCAAGTTTTCTTCATTGAATTTCCTCTGCTTTTCTCAGTGTAGCAGACAGTATTCAATGGGCGACAGATTCAGGTTACACACCTGTTCATTTCGCTTCTGACCTGTCCTGCGGCCCATTCTGCATACTTTTCACCACCATCTTTCTTGGAAATCAATAAAACCAAATCCAACGCCCACCAAATAAGTCGTTTAAAATAAAACTTTCATCGTGTTCAAACACAAAAAAAAAATGGAATAGTCATTACAATAAATTAATAAATAAATACGCAAAAAAAATGGTGACTTAAAGAGAGGGTTGGGAGGGGCAGTCCCCGGTCATCTAGGACACGAAACGCAAGTTGGTGCGCTTTCGTGCGCCGAATTCGCCAGAGTTGCGACGCACGGCCTGAAGAACAGCCTCCTGGGCCACCGGGTCCACTTCGGGCTCTTCAGAGGGCTCCACATCGGATTGGCGACCCAGGATGTTCCAGAAGGGACGAGGCGTCGTTGTGGTCACCGGATCCTTGTTGATGTAAATGCAATTGACGATGGGCTCGTCGCCGTAGAATTGCCGGTTCTTGTTGCGCATTCTTCGGCGTTTCTGTTGCTGCTGGCGTTTCCTCTGCTGTTGTTGTTGGCGACGGCGCTTCTGCTGCTGCGTCTGCTGCTGCGTTTTGCGGCGACGTTGCGACTGCTGCAACTGCTGCTGCTGCGGACGACGACGTCGGTAGCCTCCAATGGAGGAGCCACTGGATGAGCCAGAAGAATTGCTGCTGGGACGACGACGCTTGTTGTTGCTGCTGCTGGAAACGCTGCTGCTAGATTGCTTCTTCTTTTTCTTGGTCCTGCGCTGGTTGACACTAGTACTACTGCCGCTGCTGCTACTGCTGGGCTTCTTCTTCTTTTTCTTCTGAACTGTAGAATTGCTGCCCGAAGAATTGCTCAGGGAAGCACTGTTGCCACTTGAAGAGGCGGCAGGAGCAACTGCTGCTGCAGAATCCATTGCCACTGGCTTCTTGATCACATCCACGGGGGAAAGTTGCTCCATATCCTGCTGATTCTCCTCGGGCTTCTTCTTCTTTTGATCCTTATCCTGCTTCTTCTTTTGATCCTTATCTTGCTTCTTCTTTGGATCCTTATCCTGCTGCTGGGGCTTCTTCTTCTGCGTAGAGAGCTCTTCATCTGCCTGAGCCGCCACCTGTTTGCGTTTCTTCTGCTGATTACGTTTCTTCTGCTGATTCTTTTGGTTCTTGATCCTCTGATTCTGATTCTTGTTCTTCTTGTTCTTGTTCTTGTTCCTGTTGTTCTGGATACGATTGGGTCGCTTGATGTAGTTGACAGGACGAATGTCGCTATCATCTTCGCCGGTTGTCCAACTGGCAATCGTTGAAACAGGCTGATCCTCGCTGATAATCTCCTCTTCGTAAGCGTCAAGACCATGGAAAGCACCGGGCTGGTCCCTAATGTAGCCATTACCATAGTAGAAGTCATCGTAGTCCTCCTCGTCGTAATCATCCTCATCGTAGTCGTTGTGATCAATCACCTCCCAGGGATGCACAAATGGATAGTAGCTAACGCCCGCCGAGTGATCCGCATCCGATTGAACGGGTTTCAGCTCGAAGACGGCATGCGTATCGGGATTAACTTTGGGTGGCTGGTGTGACTGGACCACCACAATGCCAGCATCCTCGGCCACATTGGCATGATTGGCGGAATTGGTGACCACACTGACTCCTTGGTTGAGATAGGCAGCACTGGCCCTCTGATCGTGCTGAGTAGCACTGGCATTCTTGTTAGGATGGGCAGAACTGGTATTCTTATTAAGATAGGCAGCATTGACATTATTAAGATAGGCAGCATTGACATTCTGAATGAACTGGGCACCACTGGTGTGAATTTCCAAGGGTAAAGCCAAGGCAGCTGGCACAAAGTTGTACCGAGAATTCGAATCCTCTTCTTCATCATCATCTTCTTCGTCGTCGTCGTCCTGAGTTTCGTCACCCTGAACATCTGCATTGGGAATTGGAGACTCCAGATGCACTCCCGTCAGGGCCACATAACGCTTGTTACTATTCTCCACCTCCTGCAGAACGGCTCCTCCTTCACGATGCTCCTTCTTGGGCAGACCATCCACCTTCAGGGGCTGCGAACTAACCGATACACTTGCTCCAGACTGGAGGGCACGACCCGAACGCTTCCTCCTCGTGATCACGCACTGCGACTGGCTGCCATCTCCCGTCAACTGACGTCCCTGGATATAGAATCGCTTCAGCTCGTACTCATCGCCGTTCTCGTCCACCTCGATCATGGACTCACTGGTGGCCCTGGCGACCAGCAGGCACATCCATAAGGCCAGCAAAGCCCAGACACAGCGGTTCCTCATCTCGGCCAAAACTGAGCTAGCCGACGATCGGCAACCGGCTTATATTAGCTCGCTCGCCGGACCTATTGACCCACAGCTAATTGCCAAAAAGAAACGTAGTAACAGATGGTTATAAGGTCTATATGGTCAGATCTGCCAGTTCACCAAAACCAAAACCAAAACGGTTTCCTACGAACCCGAGGGCACTGAATTATTCATCAGCAGCTCCAGCATCAGCATCTTAGTAACACGGCTTCTTCGGGCTTTCTTCCGAGAACCCGTTTTATTAATAATATTTTGTTGGCTTTGGCTTTGGCTTTCTGTCGAGGTCAATGGATTGACCGATCATTAATAACCCCGCTTCATTGCGGAGGAAAGTTTCTGCCAAAAGAGCCCTTTGTGGGTCATCTAGGTTGGGATCGATTCGCACGGAGAAAAACTCAGCATCAATTCTACTTTGTTTATAGCTGATAGTTTATTCATGTTAATGTGATTAAATATTGGTTATTAAAAAAACAAAACTTATTTTCCAGTCATCTTTTATACAGATTAAAACTATTCGATGATTTTCATATATTTTATTATATAAATAATATTGCTATAGTTTTTTCTCTGTGCATAAATCATAACCCTTTTTGGGAGTGGAAAGTTGAACAATGGGCCCGTGTTAAATTCCGCATACAGTTCGACGTTTTTAAAAATAGATCTGGTTGTTCTATTGACTTAATTTAAGCCCCAGAAATTTCTGTTTACAATTGAGATTCGCTAAAAGATTTATTTTACCTAACAGATGATTTATCCAGAAAAAAAGAATGAACAAAGGAAGTTTGGAAGTTAAGATTCAGATTTTTAGATATTTCACAATAAAACTCACACGTGGAGCGAAAGTTCAGATTCACTACGGAAAAGGTAAGGTCTGGAATGCTGAACACCCTATTTTCTTATAAAAAAGGTTTCCAAATTTTCAAAAAATGGGTTTGCAAAAAAGTGTCAAAAAACTGCACTTCTAGACTCATAACTTTTCTTATAGAAATCTGAATTCAAAGTGGAATATTTCAAAATGATCGTGGTTTGATTCCCTAAAAATCTGTGTTTTTACTTTAGTTTTTTTTTGGGTCAATTTTTCATCATTTTCAGCAATGTAACCCCTTTCCAAATTTAAAAAAAATGGGCTTGCAGAAAAGTGACCTAAAACCTGCACTTCTTAGCCCATAACTTTTTTACGGACATCCGATTTCAAAGTGGCATGCTTTAAATTGATTGTGGTAAAATTCTCTAAAAAACTGTGTTTCCACTTTATTTTTTTTTTGTTGGTCGAATTTTCAAATTTAAAAAAAATGGGTCTGCAGAAAAGTGCTAAAAAACTGCAATTCTACGCTCATAACTTTTCTTACAGACATCCGATTTCAAAGTGGCATACTTCTAAATGATTGTGGCTAAATTCTCTAAAATTCTGTATCCTCACTTTATTTTTTATTTTTGGGTCGATTTTTCGTCATTTTCAATGATGAATGAAAAATGGGTTTCCCGAAAAGTGTCAATAAACTGCACTTCTAAGCCCATAACTTTTCTTACAGACATCCGATTTTAAAGTGGCATACCTTCTAAGACTTGTGGAAGTGTATTAAAATTTTTTATTTTAACATTGATACATTTTTCGTGTTGTCCACTTTTAATTTTCTGATGGCCTGTAAGTAAAAAAAAAGTATGCAACTTATTTAATTTATGCCCATAAAGAACTAAATAATCATACCATAAATTAGCAAAAAGAGTATAGAAAGCGAAATTGACCTTTGACGAAAAAATGAAAGAGCCATGGAAAAAGCAGATTTCTTAGCGGGATTAAAGTTTCTACGACGCTAAGTCAAAAACGAAATGAATTTATTGAATTCACTTTTGGTGCGATTGGTGCTTATGAAAGGCAACGAAATGGCCAACAAAAGCTAATAAACATTCCAAATCACAGTTTGACCCGCGTTGATTTTTTTTAGTCAGTTAAACTTAACTCAGTTGGACTAAGCCAAAAGCCAAATACAGCCACAATTTCAACGGGGACAACGTTTTGAGCTGCGGCCATTTATTGTCCACTCTGTGTGAATGCTAATGAAGCATCGTAAATTTCCAGGGCCAAGAGGAGCCCCGGGCGAAAATAGTTGGGTGTGATCCAGGTTCGCTGAAGAATCCAAGATGGGTTGATGGTGTGCTCATGGATCAGTCAGCAGATCGCAGTTGGAATACGCTTTCCAAAGAAGAGTTAGGAATTAATGAACTTACCCTATTGAGCTTGCTATTCTAAGGAAAGTAAAGCAAATCTATATCGCAATCAAAGGTAAATAAAATTGATTAGAGTTCACTAATTAAAAATAAATGTCAGCAAAGTGTAACTCTAGTGAATATTTAAAACTTACTTTTGAATTAAAAAGCCACAAAACTATTCGTTTTAGACCAGGACTTTTAATAGTAATGGCTTTTTGTGGAGCATAAATTAAGACCTGGCCAGAAATCAATTGCCAGAAAAAAGAGATGTGACAAACTGTGAAGATAAATAAGTGTTGCTCCTGTGCATAATAATTGCAGAGCCTGCAGCAGCTTCTATTTGTATGTGACGCACGTTACCACGAACCAGCAACATCAACATCAACAGGCAACACCAGCAGCAGCAACAGTAGCAGTAACAAGTAACAACACACCTTGTTCTTGTTCTGATATCAAGTGCTGATTACACACCCAGACAAACGGAAAAGAAACCAAACGAAACCAAACAACACGACATCAAAATCGGCAGAAGAAGTCGTCGTCGAGTTCACCAAACGATATTAGGTGGGCATTTGCTTCGATTTTGAAGTCTTTATTTTTATCACAATCAGCCTCACGGCCCCTAATCTGTTATCGACCCATTTAAGGCGAGACATCAACTCTTCTCTATATACTATATATATACATGTTCCGATCGTATCGGAGCAAAGTGGAGTCCAGTCGGTAGAATTGTCCATTCCCCATTGCCCAAATGCTACACGAATCGTGATTGCTTACAGTGGATGCGGCACCTAATGGACCTAGAATTCAAATTAATTAAATGCCAATAAACAAAGGAGACCGTTTATACAACATAATACAAATTGGTATTTCTAAATATTCACGTTCAAAAAATAAACAAATGCAATAAATGAATAATAAATTTAAAAACCCTGAATTTGTTACTTTTACTATTTTGTAGACTACTTTAAGAAATTTGTAAATTTAAATATTCACAATGTTTTTGGGAGTTGGATTTTCTTTATATATTTCTTATTAAATTTAAGCATAGAGTTTTAGTTTGTATTTTTTAACCATTTGTTATTGCCTTACGATTTTAAATTCCACCATTTTAAGCTTAATATATATCGTTTTAAAATGTATTCAAGCAGGGGTTTTATTATGCATATTTCTCATAAAATATTTTTATAAGTGAGTTGGTGGAACACTTCCCACCCCCAGTGTGTAAACATCCCGCACCCAGAATACGCCTACGCAATTCCCCAATTCTGGCCCACCTGCAATACATATTCCCCTCCGATCTGAGCGATCGTATAAAAATTGACGCACGCAGCAAGAAAGTGCGTATACGCAATTAGAATTCCATTAACTAATTTCTTCTCATTTGCATGGCGCACTTTCTAAGTGCATAAGTGCCGAAAAAACAGCATCTCGCCGGTGTAATAGTAATAAATAAAGAACTTTCATTTACATTTCATTCAAATAAAGGGTCTAAATAAAAGGGGAAATGAAGAGCAGGGAAGAACAGCAGTTTGTATTTACCATGAATTTTGGATTTTTTTTATTTTTTGGCTGCCGCTTTCGTGGCGAGCACCCATGGAATTTATAATTAATTCGTGCATTAAATTTTCGAGCATATTATATTTGGTTTTTTTTTTCTTTTGCCGCACAAATCAATAAGTAATATTGTGAGAGTTTCAGTTAATGAGATGCATGATATCGAGGAATGTGCGCTGACACAAATATTCAAAACGATTTTTGGGCCCACCAATTTCTGGTTATTATTACTGCTGATTAGTTGCAACTTGAAAAACGCCCAGCGAAAAGTCCAGAGAACTGGTTTTCCCACAAATCACAGCAGCAGACCAATCCGAGTGCATCTCGCACATAAGATTTTTCTGTATCTCGAGATGCAGTTGCAGTTGCAGTGAATCAACAAAATGGCGGAGACTAAATAAAATCACCTTCAGGTGAGGAAAACTCGATTGTTTCTCCTTTCGAGGTGACCTAATAAAAAAGAAGTGCCAGAATTTATCATCAATTTAACATTGTCACCGCTTAAGTAAGTATTCTCAACACGTGTGTCTTATTTATTTTAATTTTAGGCTGTTTTTCTGACAACACCCAAACCAACTTAAAAACCGGTTGAGATTTGCACAAATTACAGTATTTAAATCTAAAACTTTCATTTTTGGGTGAACTAAGCATTGTTGAAAAATAATATATTCTTCTAATAGAAGAATAAAATGTTAATGTATAGATACAAAAATTATATAATAACGCATCATTTAAATAAAGAAATAATTTTATACTGAACGATAACATAAAAAATGTACATATTTCATAAAAGCAAATTTTTATGTATAATTTTTTATGTATATCTGAAAATTAGTTTAAAAATTCAATCAAAGGTTTTGCAAAAACTGAAGTTTCAAATTATTAAATACATAGGTAGGCTTGTCAGAACCACAAACATATATCAACTGAAATAAGCTAAGAAAAATATTAACCTAAAAATAATCAAATAAATTCTTGTGTCTTTTCGTTTACCTTTTTAAATTTTCCCGCTCTACTTTAAACGGTTATGAAAGCGGTAAACCGCTGACTAAAGCAAGTTCTGCTGTGTTGGAGAACGCCGCAGTTATATTATCAAATATCGCTTATCGGTTCTTCCCGCGCATACTTTTACAACACTGCCGCCACCGGCACTGTGCAACACTGTATTATAAGTGCAAAATTTCGCAGTAGGAAATTTATAGCCAACGTGATTAAATTTAGCCTATTTTCGTGGGAATTAACGACCGAAAAGGTTGTATATATAGAAACAATTTATAGGAAATACCAGAGAGGGACTTTCGCAAAAACCCGGAGCACGCCGAGGATCGCCCCATAGATCACCATGCCACGAGGAAAGTTCGTCAATCACAAGGGCCGCAGTCGCCATTTCACATCTCCCGAGGAACTGCAGCAGGAATCGGAGGAGGACAGCGACCAGACCAGCGGCTCGGGCTCCGAGTCCGAGGACAAAGAGGGCGCCAGTGGGTCCAAGCCGAAGGTTCCGGCGCCCAGGAAGCCGCCAGCAAACCGACAGAAACCAAGATCTTCCGCAGGAGCAGGAGCAGCCAGCAGCTCGGAGTCGGAATCCGAGGAGGACTCGGAAGATGATTCCGATCTGGAAGCACGCGACGCCAAGAAGGGCGTGGCCTCACTCATCGAGATCGAGAACCCCAACCGGGTGACCAAGAAGGCCACCCAGAAGCTGTCGGCGATCAAACTGGACAACGGTCCTGGAGCGGAGCCCGGCAAGGGTGCCCCCAAGCCGGAACTCTCCCGCCGGGAACGAGAGCAGATCGAAAAACAAAAAGCCCGCCAGCGTTACGAGAAACTCCATGCCGCTGGAAAGACCATCGAGGCTAAGGCTGATTTGGCCAGGCTGGCATTAATCCGGCAGCAGCGCGAGGAGGCGGCCGCCAAGAGGGAGGCGGAGAAGAAGGCAGCCGATGTGGGCACCAAGAAGCCAGGTGCCAAGTAATAGTGTCCTCCTCCATCCCCTCCAGAATAACAGAGCTCTCAATCCCGAAACAACAAACACAACAAACAGGGCTAAATGGCAATTAGTTAAGCGTAAATTAACCAATGTAACGTAAACACACATTCAAAATTCTTCAAGTTTTCTAAGCCTGTCTTTTGTAACTGCAAACTATACAAAAAAAACATTTAATAATAAACCGACTTATTATAAACGAGAGACTGGGGTGGTGAACTCAGAATCTGGAAAGAGATAATCCAGGCGTAATCTTGGATGTTTTCAAGGGGTATATATTGTGCATTCTATATTGCAATTTAATCTTGCGAAGTTTTTTAAATTTTATAGAAAATCAGAGTTGTAGATAACTATATAGTGAAAATAATCCAGGTCACAAATCAATGTTAATGTAATCACATGGTCAATAACTTTGTGGATATAAAAAAATAAAATTGAAGTTCCACCAAAAATGTATTGGTTATTACAATGAAGTATAGATGTACACTAAATACTAGCTATGACTAAACTAAGTAAACAATTAGCATCTGGGCTAGACCACGCCCCAGACCTCCTCGAAGGCGGAGCAGAGTTTGGAGCAGGCGATGGCCGCCGAAAGGGGATAGTTGCTGATGGAGAAGAGCTCCTCCGTGTAGTCCGTCTTTAGGACTCCGTGGGCAAAGGCTCCGATGACAATGACAACCGGTTCGTCATAGCTGGCACTGCCCTCCTCGCCATGTGGCACCAAGTCCCTGCAGTTGGCCACCAATTTGCCGGAGAAGCTCATGGCGTACTTTTTGCATCCAACCGGCACATGGTCCGTGATTGGATTCTTGATTACACTCATCAATCGACGCGAGGAGTCATTCGCTCTGATCTGAAACTTGTGCAGCAGTTGGACCATTAATCCCGCAAAGCGTTTAAAGGTACGCGGAATACGGGTCTGTGGGTTGATTTCGATCAGGACATTGTGCTCCGTGCGCACGAAAACCTGGAGAAGACCGGCCCGATTAAGTGGAGAATCGAAGAGCATTAACAGGCACTGGTGGGTGATATCCGGACGACAGGATCCCGGGTCCCTTTGATTTTTGCGCATAATACCCGCATGATCATCGCAGTTCAGCAGCTCGAAGGTGCTGTGTACCTTTTGGAAGGGAAATATATAAAAGAATATGATTGGGACTTCTTCCTACATAAGTTGTGGTAACCCACCTTCACGGTCTCCAGTTGGGCACCCTCCAAAACGATAATCAGCCGCTTTTCGCTGGCATTCAAATGGAGCACCTTGAACTGTTTCTTGTCCAAATCGAATTCCGGATCATCCGCCTTGCGGCCAACGAATTTCCTCTTCCGGTTAATCGCCTTTCCTTGGCCACCCATTTTGTGGAGTATTGGATATATCAAAAGGATAAAATTCGAAAAATGTCAAAATAAATCCGCACGTTTTTCGAAATTACAGGTTCAATATGACTGTAGTGGAAGTGCACTCAAATACCTTGCACCAAACATACCAAATACAATATCGTTCTTAAAATATACCAGAACTTAATAATGATTACTTTTTCTATCGAGTTAGCGCTATCGATACACGGCAATTGTGCCACTATTGATATAAGTCCAATCCATACGACTGCAGATAAAACCCCTTTCCAAATTCTCGAAAAATGGCTTTGGAGAAAGGTGACCAAAATCTGCACTTCTAAGCCCATAACTTTTCCTAAAGACTTCCGATTTGAAAGTGGCTTACCTCTAAATGTTCGTGGTTTAATTCTTTAAAAAACTGTGTATTCAGTTTAGTTTTTATTTTATGGTTGATTTTTCGTCATTTGCAAATTTTCGAAAAATGGGTTTGCGGAAAAGTGTCCAAAAACTGCACTTCTAGGCTCATAACTTTTCGTACAGACATCCGATTTAAAGTGGCACATCTCTAAATAATTGTAGTTTAATTCTCTAAAAAACTGCGTTCTCAGTTTATTTTTTAATTTTTGGTCGATTTTTCATCATTTCTATAAGGGGTTACCTCTTCCAAATTCTCGAAAAATGGGTTTGCAGAAAAGTACCAAAAAACTGCACTTCTAAGCCCATAACTTTTCGTACAGACATCCGATTTTAAGGTGGCATATCTCTAAATGATTGTAGTTTAATTATCTAAAAAACTGCGTTCTCAGTTTATTTTATATTTTTTGGTCGATTTTTAGTCATTTTCAATGACCCTTTCCAAATTTTGGAAAAATGGGTTTGCAGAAAAGTGACCTAAAACCTGCACTTCTAAGCACATAACTTTTCTTACAGCCATCCTAATTCAAAGTGGCATATCTTAAAATGATTGTGGTTTAATTCCCAAAAAAACTGTGTTTTTAGTTTACTTTTTTTTTTGGGGTCTATTTTTTGTCATTTTCATATTACCGAAAAATGGCTTTGCAGATAAGTCACCTAAATAAAACCTGTACTTCTAAGCCCATAATACCCGCATGTAACTTGTCTTACAGATATCCGATTTTAAAAAGGCATATTTCTAAATTATTATAGTTTAAGTCTCTAAAAAGCTGTGTTTTTAACTTGGTTTGTATTTTGGGGTGGATTTTTAGTAATTCTGTAAAACCCTTTCTTAGTTTTCAAAAATGGCTTTGCAGAAAAGTTTAAGATAAAAGCACTTGTAGGCTTAAATTTTTTATTTAATATTGTATTTTAGATATCATTTTAACAAAATTGATACAAAAATATATACTTTTAGAGCCCATAACTTGACCAATTAGTTATTTTCAAATAACATGCGTTACAATGTTATTAAATTGTTGTTGTTTCTTGTTTTGTTTCTGTGAGAAAATACCAAAAACCTGCGCGTTAGGGCTTTATTCTGACCGCTGCCCAGTTACTTAAAACTCAAAATGCGAGAGAGCTGGCCGAGGCTTTGGCCCCCGGCGCTGGCGCTGCTCTATCTGATCCTGCTCCTGCTAATCCACCTGCTCCCCGCCACTGAGGCCGCGTTCCGTAATGGGACCGCAAGTCGCTGGAGTGGCAGTTCTCGGCGAAGCAACGCTACCTGTGCCAGAAGAGTCCTGTCGGAAATCCTGCCACTGCCAGAGAGTTGTCCACCCGAAGTGCTCGGTCTAAGGGGCACCGTGTACATCCTCTATGACGTGAACATATCCGAGGGCTTCAACCTGCGCCGGGACGTCTACATTCGCATGGCGGTGTTTGTGCGCCGGCTGCAGAGGAGGAAGAGGTTTCGCAAGGTGCGGTTGGTCCTGCCTCCATGGCCCCGCCTGTACCACTGGCACTCGCAGGGCCTGCAGCAGGCTGGACTGCCCTGGGGTCACTTCTTCGACCTGGCCAGCTTGGCCCGTTACGCACCTGTGCTGGACTACGAGGAGTTCCTGGCCGAGCAGCGGCTCTTCGGCAATCCGGGAGCCCCCCTGGTGCACGTGGCGCACGCGTTCCGACTCCAGCACTACGAGGTTATGCTGGAGCAAGGCATCTTCAGGGACAAGTTCGAACGCGTCACCGACAAGCCGTGCAGCGAGGGATCACTTTCGGGCGGACTTCTTTTGCAGCAACCTGAGCTGCGAGTCGGCCGGTTCCACTGCGTCCGGTTCCAGGGCAGCGCCGGGTTGCTGGAGCAGCTACTCCGCGTGGCGATTGCCGAGGACACGACCGGGCCGGAGGACGCCGACGATATGCGCACCTACGCCCTGCTCAGCGCTGAGACCGTGCTGCACGACCACTGGGGCGATGAGCACTTCTGGCGAGCCCGGCGCTCCATGCGCTTCGCCCGCCCCCTCGACCAGGTGGCCGCCGCCTTCCGGCAACAGGTGCTGGCCACCACGGACGCCACGGCCGGAGTTCAGCGGCCACCGATGTGGGAGCTGGAGAGAGCGAAGCGAGACGCCCGGGGCGGGGATTACATGTGCGCCCACCTCAGAAGGGGCGACTTTGTGCGCTCGCGGGAGGCGACCACGCCCAGTCTGAAGGCGGCGGCCCAGCAGGTGAAGCAGCTGCTGCGCGCCTTCAACATGACCACCGTGTTCCTGGCAAGCGACGCTACGCCCTACGAGCTGATGGAGTTGAAGGAGCTTTTCTATCGCTTTCGCTTTGTGCACTTTACGCCGGAGTCCAACGCCCAGCGGCGGGAGCTGAAGGACGGGGGTGTGGCTGTGGTGGACCAGCTTGTCTGCGCCTACGCCCGCTACTTCGTAGGCACCTACGAAAGCACCTTCACGTACAGGATCTACGAGGAGCGTGAAATCCTGGGCTTCAGCCAAGCCAGCACCTTCAACACGTTCTGCAAGGCCCTGGGAGGAAGCTGCTCCCGCAACGCCGTTTGGCCCATTGTGTGGGATGATGGCGACCCCGAAAGCGAGGAGGACACCGATAGCGTTTCATACTGAACACCCTCCGATTGCTGTGCCGTATATATATATATATTGTGAGACCGCTCGAATTCTAGTTTTAAGTCCAATGTGTGTCAGATCAGTAACAGAGATTCCGAACAACCTGCGATTGTGTACCAAAAAATAAATTAATAGCCAATATTCTGTACTTCAAAGTCCCTAAATAAGGATTGTTTTTTTTGGCATTAGAGGTAAAAAAAATAATATAGTGCAAATATTTATCTTCCCTTGGTTTTTAAAAAAGTTAACAAGGCAGCATGTTTGAAAACTGATGTATTGCCGCCAAAGCTAGCACTATCGCATATCGATGTCATTCACAGAGTACCCTCTTGTACGTTGACTTATCGATGACTTATTTAGTCCCAACACTGCTACCATTGCACGTGTTTTTATTTGTATTGAAAATATAATTCAAATTGATCCGCTCCTGCGCCATGGGCAAGAAGAACAAGGGTGCCGCACCCAACCTGGGTCGCCAGCTGATCAAGGATCGCTTTGGCCACACACCCCGCCGCAAGGTGGACAACGACACGATGGTAAGTGCGCATGAAGAGTGCGGCGTCCCAAATCAAAATACATATGTGCCTTTGTCCCACCAGCTGCACACTACCGAGCTACAGGATGGCTACGACTGGGGCCGTCTCAACCTGTCATCCGTCACCGAGGAGTCCTCGTTCCAGGCCTTTTTGCGCACCGCCGAGCTGGCCGGCACAGAGTTTCAAGCGGAGAAGCTGAACATTACGTTCGTGAACCCCAAGCAGCGGGTGGGACTGCTCAGCAAGACGCAGGAGCAGCGCATGCACCAGAAGCACGACGAGCACCGCGACCAGCTAAAGATCCCAAGGCGCCCTAAGTGGACCAAGGAGACCAGCGCCGATGAGCTAGAGCGAGCCGAGAACGAGGCTTTCCTAGATTGGCGCCGCGATCTGGCGCTGCTGCAGGAGGACGAGGAGATCCTGATGACGCCCTACGAGAAGAACCTCGAGTTCTGGCGCCAGTTGTGGCGCGTGGTGGAGCGCTCCGACGTGGTTGTCCAGATCGTCGACGCCCGTAATCCGTTGCTGTTCCGCAGCATTGACCTGGAGCGCTACGTGAAGGAGGTGGAACCAAGCAAAATGAACATGATCCTGGTAAACAAGTCGGACCTGCTCACAGCGGAACAACGTCGCCACTGGGCGGAGTACTTTGACAGCGAGGGCATTCGTACGGCCTTCTACTCGGCTACTCTAGTGGAGGAAGAGCTGAAGCAAGAGGCGGAGGCGGCTCGCCAAGAATCCTTTCCCGAGGTGCGGGAGCTGCGCAAGGCCGCCGAGGAGATTCACCAGTCGCTGGATAAGGTAGAGGGCACACTGAACGCCATCGAGGAGAAGCTCAAGGTGAATAAAGAGGGGGAGCACGATCAGCTTCCGCGAATGCCGGAGGACAAGAACAGTCCCCGACTGCTGTCCCGCCTGGAGCTCATCGAGTTTCTGCGCCACATTTACAACGGTCCACGGCACACAGAGCAGCACGTGACCATCGGCATGGTCGGCTATCCCAACGTGGGAAAGAGCAGCACCATAAACTCGCTAATGACTGTCAAGAAGGTTTCTGTTTCTGCCACGCCCGGCAAAACCAAACGCTTTCAGACGCTTTTCTTGGACCAGGACATCTTGCTCTGCGATTGTCCTGGTCTGGTGATGCCCAGTTTCGTTCTGACCAAGGCGGACATGTTGCTCAACGGCATCCTTCCCATCGACCAGATGCGCGACCACGTGCCAGCCGTGAATTTGCTGTGCGAACGAATTCCGCGCCATGTCCTGGAGTATAAATACGGTATTGTAATAGCCAAGCCCCTGGAAGGCGAGGACATGGAGCGGCCCCCGCATTCCGAGGAACTGCTGCTGGCCTATGGATGTAAGTTTGTATGTTTTACCTTTTTCAATATTTTATTAATCGTTCTCTCGGTTTTTTTTTTGTATGGCTCAGACAATCGCGGCTTTATGACCTCTAACGGACAACCGGATCAGGCGCGCTCCGCCAGATATGTCCTTAAAGACTATGTCAACGGCAGACTGCTTTACGCTATGGGCCCGCCTTCGCTGCCCCAGGCCGAATACCATACTTTTCCCGAACGCCAGCGCAAGGTCATCGAGGAATCCCAGCTGCCAAGTCAGCAACAGCGAGCTATGCGGGTGAGATTCGCACTGAGGCTCGACTAGATCCCTTACTGATCCTCTGAATGTCTCCTGCAGATTGACAAGAGCACGTCCAAGGAGCTGGACAAGCAGTTTTTCTCCGACAAGCCCACCCACGCCCATGTAAAGGGACGCACCAACTTCCCGAACGTGCGTCTAGCTAACGACGGCTCCCTGGTGGCCGGCAATGATCCGGCGGCCAAGCCCTGGCGTCATGTCAAGAAAGAGAGGCGGGAGAAGCTGCGCAAAAAGTTCTCCCACCTAGACGAGCATTGATTTAAATCCATTAGTAATTTATTTCGAAGGGCGTGTCTATGAGGCACTTGTATATTATTAGCATTAGAATTACATAGAAATTAAACCTGAAGAATCCAGACAGCTCTACATGTACAATCTAAAGCATGAACCGGTGAATTGCAAATAGGAAGGTCTATAAAAGATTTAGACGTCGTAAAGATTACCCAGATAAACATGCCTCAGTACCGCAAAGTTTGCATATATCTAGTACACAGGCTAATGGAAATATGCCACACCGAATGGATTGAATGCCGCACTCAACTGAGGAAGCTATTTACTTCGCTGAGGCCGAAGCTGCACTTTGACCAACTGATAAGCTCGGACGATTACGTCTCGTGTCTTTTGTGATCTCTTGGCCGCTGCCAGTTTTAATTCTAGCTCCTATGGCCACGGACGAGAGTTGCAGGCACTTCAGGGAGCTGGACATCAGGCGCCGCTCTGGGTTGCTCCACATATACTTTCAGCGGCGATGGCTCCGCCGCACCATCTACGAGCTGATGCGCGCGCTGGACCTGGCCAATACAGACTCCACGGTCCAGTTGGTTGTGCTCTCAGGCGAGTTTTCTGCGGGATGCGGCGGCGAAACGGAACCGCTGGCTCTAAAGCAAGGTCAGGAAAACAGGAGTCGGCTGCTGGGAGGCCAACAGAAAAGGAAAGCTGTGGACGGCAATGACGCCGAGGACATGTACATACACGAAAAAGCCGCAAACTTTGTGATGCGCTCGCTGGCGAAGAAGGTGCTGGCACACCGTAAGCTTCTGGTGGCTTTTGTCGAGACCCAGTGCGTGGGCCTGGGGCTCAGCGTGATCAGTATGTGCGATCTGGTCTTCGCTATGAAGTCTTCTGCCTTTGTGCCCGCCTTTTCGCACCTGGATCCGTGCACCAAAGTGGGCCCTATTTGGACTGTGCCACACATCCACTGGCTGCTTCACTTGGGAGATCGGGCGGATGCCAACACTGCCCTCTACTGCGGTCTTGTGGCTGGCGTGGTAAGCGATCCGCAGGAGTTCTGGCATCGCATTGACCTGTACTCACGAATGCCCTCTTCCTCTCTGCTGGCGACAAAGCGCCTCCTGCTTCGGCCCTGGCGGGACTTGCTGTTCACGGAGCTGCACGAGGAGGGCACGCCTCTGGCTGCACAGCGAAGACGCCTGGCCAGATCCAGGCTGTAGGATGGGTTCTGTTGGGAATTTGGTACGATTAAAAGCGACTATAATAAAGACAAAGCTATATGAATAGAGGTACGTGCATACATGTCCATCGCAGCTATAAGTTCTGTATTGAATTTAGTTATTTAAGTTTAGGTTACGAATGTCTATAAGCAACAGTAGGCCCTTTAGGATTATAGGCCAGCGTCTATGTAGCTAGCCGTGCCGAAAGCTGTCAAATGATTTGTCCGCCTTTCAGTCTAGTTCATTTCTCAGATTACCACTATGGAGCTCGACGCGTTCAGTCAGTCAGGGAGCTCGACTTCCATTAAAACTCTCGTTTCGCAGGAGAAATCGCAGTCAATAAGCTTGACGAGCAGCAGCAAGACTGGGAGCCAGACTGAGAACAGCCTGACCGCGAACCCCAAGACCGAGAGCAGCCCGGCAAACTCCGAAGACACGACGAAGTCTGAAATCGAAAAGCAGGCAAGGCTCAAGAGGCGGTCCCAGGAGTTTATAAAGCAGCAGGAGGCCGAGCTCACCTGGAAGTGTTTCACGGATGAGGAATACGCTGACTGGAAAGCTTTCAGATGCAGCAACTACAAGGTGCCGCTGCGTTCGGTGTTCTCCTACTTGGAGGTCAAACCCTGCCCAGTGATCGTCGGCAATGTGCCGCACAAGAAATCTGTGCCGAAAGTGCTGGCCGAGATGGTGAAAGGCAATCACGGTGCCTACACTCGCATTAGGATCGGAAAGCACAAGTTCCGATGCATCCCCAACCTGCTCAAGTGCTACTCGGTGTGGTTCGCCAACCGTGATTGGCGGATGACCCGATTTCAGTTCAAGGAGCGGCAGGTGCCTGCCAGAGGCTTTGCGGCGCTTTACGAATGGATGCGCACCGAGAAGGTGCCACACTTCAAGGTGGCGGTGCCCTTGCTGCAAGCCGCGCGCCACCTGCAGGTCCACCTGCTGGAGAAGGACTGCTGGGATGTACTTTCCACCGACTCGGCTCGCGAAAAGTTGGCCTTCATCGTATACTTGGATGCCAAACGGATGCCTGCGCTCCAGGACGTGTGTGAGGTGATGCTCAGCCGAATCCGCTACTTCTTCCTGGCACTGGTGGGCAGCCGCGAGTTTTTGGATCTGGAAGTGGACGCGCTGGAGCTAATACTGCGGCGGGATTCCATCGGTGTTAACTCCGAGATGGAGGTTTTCTTCGCAGTGCTACGTTGGCTGGGGCACTCGTCTCCCGACGAGCCGACGCGTCTGCCACTCATGCGTCGCCTGATGTCCTGCGTCCGCTTCCACCACCTGCCCATGACCTTCCTGTTCAGTCTGCGTGAGTCCATCAACCGTCCGGACAAGGAGGAGCTCTTTAGGCCGGATCCCGTGCTGCTGGCCTTCAATTCGGACCCGGAGGCGATGACCATGCTGGAGCATGCAATGTCCTTCATCGGCGTGCGCTGCCAGTACGATGACACCGACGAGTTCCTCGCTGTCTGCGCGAACCACCGCATTGGCGTGGTCTTCCCACGCCACTGGGTATACCACCCAAAGTGTCCTTACCACTTGCGTAGCCTTGCCTTTCCGTACCAGCACCGCTTCACCGCCTCTGACTTCGGCGACTACGTCGCCAGCATCCAGACGGATTGGGTCGGCAAGGGGCCGGCGGACCACGGAAAGTCTCTGGTCCTCGATCTGGACTTCGACCCACTGCTCCGCAGGCAGTCACAGTGGAAAGCGACCAAGTGACACACGGACATTCACATTTCTCTTTTTTACCTCCTGACGAGATGATTTTGTAACATAATGCGCAGATTTATTTATATTCCATTCAACTGGCTTTTGAACATCAGCCGCGACAAATGATCTATGTTTAAAAGTATATTTTCGGTCACCCATGTAAATTCAAGTTAGCACGGAACATTCGCAATGACTTTGTGGTTAAAAGTTGTCAAAGTTTCACCGACTTAATATATAACTTAAACATATTTAAATTTAAAAACTTAAAATTTTGATTTGTGTGACAGTTTTATCAGAATTTTAAAACTAAATATTTTTTGTTGATAGATTTTTAAATCCATTACTGGAACAACGGACAAAAATTAAAATAATTCCGTTAGCAGAGTCCCATGTGTGAGCGGCCTAAAAACCTATCGATGTCGATAACTGCTAATAGCAGGGTGTCATCTCCAACTGGAATGCTCAGCTGATTGCTTTGCCGGCGCGTGTTTATTTGTATTTGTTGTGCGACCAAGCTTCGTTGGTTTCGTAATTTTATTTCGCGGAAACCTGAATGAAGTAGCACGAAATGCAGCGAGCGCGACTGTTGCAGAGTGTGTGGCTGTGCCGGCAGCGCCTGGTCCCGTCGCCAGGACGCGGACCGTCCTCCGCCAGCCTCGGATTGCGTTACGCAATGACGCCGCCTTCGGTTTATCCAGCAGCTCCTTCACTGCAGCTGCGGTTCCTGAGCACGGGCGGCGTCGCCAGCGCGGCGGAACGGAGGAGCCGGCGCCACGCCTCCGAAAGGCCGCCAGTCAGCATTGAGGATGTGTGGACGCAACTGGAGACGTACTACCAGCAGCACAGCCTGCTCAACTATGAGCACTGCCAACGCGTGCTGGACCACCTGCAGAGCTCGCCATCGCCCCAAGGAGTGAGCGTCGAGCAACTGCACTTTCTCTTGGGATCTTGTGTGCCCGAGATGCTTCCCGCCCAGAGTGGCCAGGAGCGGCTTCAGCTCTTCCAAAGCCTGTGGGCACAACTTCTTAAACTGGGGGGTCAGCCCAAGCTGGATCACTACCACACCAGGCTACAGGTGCTTCGTCAGAACCGCCTGCCTCTTTCGGATCACCGCTCCGTGCTGGCAGAGATTGCCGTGTACCACGGAGCCGCCGACGCATCCTTGTACAGCGCTCTTCTGGACGTGGCCGGATCCGCAGGGAACATGCGCCAGGCCACCGAACTGCTCGCCGAGATGCGCGAACGCAGTTTTGCCCTCACAGATCGAAACTTCTACGCGCTGCTGCTGGGCCACGCCCGCAACGGTGATCTGGCCGGAGCAGAGTCCGTCCTGGCCAGCATGCGGGCCGCTGGAATACAGCCCGGCAGCAACAGCCAGGCCATCTGGTTCGAGGCCCTTGTGGAGAACGGCCAGGTGACGCAGGCCATGGAACTGCTGCAGACGGAGGCGGGCTTCACCGGCCCTCAATTGCTTCAAATGCTGCGGGGAGTGCTTGCCGGCAAGGCTGTGGACACGGAGCTTGCCCAGCAGCTGGTCAAGGAACTGCCACGGGAGTTCCTAACCGGACTCGACCTGCCACCCGCTATCAGAAGTCTCTGCATCCAGCTGGTGCACCAAGGACGCACCCAAGTGGTCATGCAGCTTGTGTCTGCATTGCCCGCTCCGAAATTCGGGAACCAAAACCAAAACATAGATGAGTACGGTGCATTGCTGCTTCAGGAGTTTTTCCGCGCCCACGTCCCCCTGGCGCAAACACTCCAGTTCGCCAGTGAACTGGTCCAGCGGAGCCAGAATCCTCGCGCCTTGCATTTGGTTGTTGAGCTGGCCTTGCGCCGGCTACCCTCATCCGCGCTCCACTGTCTGCAGGCACTGTCCACCGCCGGCGAAAAGCTGCGTCCGCACTACTTCTGGCCCCTAATCCTGCACCACCACCGGCGAGAGGGCGAGAGTGGCCTGCTGCGCCTGGTGGCTGAGATGCAGCGCATGGGCGTTGAGTGTGACGATGAAACCTTGCGGCAGTATCTTCTCCCGCACCTGACTCAAACCCTAACGCAACCCTTGGAGGCCATCAAGGCCCTGGAATCGGCTGGTGTGAAGCCCTCGCTAACCCTGTGTCCCATTGTAAGCCACCTGCTGCAGCAAAACCAGCAGATGAACGAGGCTCTGGACTTGCTTAAACGGTATCCGACGCGCCTTGACCTCTCCATGCTACTTCAGCCATTGTCATCCCTGGCGGTGAATGCCCGTGCAACCAAGCGCTTCGAACTTTTCGCGCAGGTAGTTCAGGCCCTGCAACAGAAGGCGCTCCAACGAGGCGAGGATTTTGTTGGCTCCTTGCTGCTACAAATGACCGGACCACAGACGCGTCTACGCCAGGATGCCGCCTCCCTGTCCCGTTTCCTGCACGAGCTGAGTCGCCTTGAGCTGCAGCTCTCGCCTGCGGCGTCCGAGGTTCTACTTTCTTTGGCCAGGCAGGCTACCCAGGACACCGAGCTGATTCAGGACCTGGCCAAGGCCTTGCAGAAAATGCGCAATACAGAGCTGACCCTGCCAGCAGATACGGCTTCGCTGCACGGAGGATTTATCAAGCACCCCCGCGACATGAGTCTGGACGAACTAGAGTGCCATTTGGTGGAGCTGGAGTCCAAACAGCTGAATCCACGCGGCGTACTGCGTCGTTTGCTGCAGCTCTCGGTACGGAGCGGCCGTTTGGAGCGCGCTCAGCAACTATTGGCCAAGTGCCAGGCCTTAAAGGTGCAGACGAGCGCAGGGATGATGGCCTCCATCCTGGACTTACACATCAAGTTGCGTGACCTGCCACGCGCCCAGGAGGCCTTGCAGCGGCTCAGAAGCACCTACCCAGGTATAAATATATTGTTGTCCGATCTTAAACGTGTCCGTCCTTTCTGTTTATAAGTTTCTTATTCAATCCTTATGCCTTTCAGCCTTCCAGATTGACGAGCACAAGGTCATCGACTTCGCCGGCCTCTTGGTACAGGGACAGCAGCTGGAGGCCGCCAAGCAGCTGCTTCAGCGCCGCGCTGAACAGCACAAGGTCGTCGGCGGCGACTACGTGATCAAAAACGTATGGCAGCTGCTTACCAACGTGGCCCAGCTGGCCGCCTCCCAACCTCCAAGTAACTCTACCAGCGAAGGTGCGGAGGGATCCAAGCCAAGAAACCTGACCCGCGAAACGCTGGACTTTCTTCGTGAACTAGGCTACTGCCAGTCGCACAATGCTTTGTTGGGACCCGTGGTGCGCGAGTGGCTGCTAAGGGGTGACTTGGACGCGGCAGTGGGCGAGTTCCAGCGACTGGCCAACAACCACAAACACACGCCCCTGCAGTTCGAGCTGCTGTCGCTGCTGGTGCGCCTCGGCAATGGGGATGAGCAGGAGCTGGCCCGCTTCCCTGCCACCACAGCCGAGTCCGCCCAACAGAACTTGGCTGCGGTTACGGCTACGGTGAGCCGCGTCCATGGGGCGGCCAACATGAATAGCGCCCTGCTTCTCGCCCTGGCGGAGTCCGGAAAGGAGGCGCAACTGCGGCGGCTGATTATCAACCCAGAGTTCCGCATCAACCACGAGCTGCTGGTAAAAAACTGCGAGCATTTGGGACAGGAGGGCGCGGTGCGGACGCTCCTGCGGCTGGCGCGCGGAGTAAGAGGTGTTCAGCGGTCCATCGACGAGCAAAAGATCTACGACATCTTGCTGGCCCAGTTCTGTCGCAGCAACGACTACGAGGCGGCGCTTGATCTCTTCGAGCGCCTGGAGGCCGACGACGAACTAAAGGTGTCCCAAGAGTTTCTGCGCAACCTCGTGCAGCTGCTGCAGGTGAACCGTGTGGAGATTCCCAGCGGTATCGCGTTACGCGCCCATATTAGATAGCCGGGTCATAGGATCGCTGCTCTGCTGTTTATTTAGTGACTTATTTTGTATATAAATTGACTCAGTAAAAGTGAGAAGAAGACCAGTACATATGTACATTCATATGTGTGGTTCTGTAAATCTCCAATATTTGGTATGGCCTTGAATATTCACTCGAGTTCCCCCCATATTTATACAATCGCCAAGCCATTCATTTTTATACGGGTCTCAATACTGATTACAAGTATAATTGTCAAATAAAACTATAATTATAAAAACAATATTGCAAAATGTTTACTTTTATTCAATAAAAAAGGCCATATTTATAGTCAAGGACTATTTTCATTATTTAATTTGTAAATCTAAAGAGGCCGACACGTAGAGTATAAAACCGCAGTTAGCACAGACACATGACATATTATGTGTGATGACCACTGATTTAAAACCATTTAAAAAAGCGTTTTTTTGGCACATGTCAAGCTCAGCTGTCTGGCAACTCTAAAGTCGGTTTGACAGTTATCTTGTGTGTCTACTGCGCCGCCATTTCTTGCATTCCGCCATTTTGAGATGAATAGTTTCTGTCGTTCATGGTGCTGCTCATGCGCCCCGTTTTCTCAGGAATTTAATTAAACTTACATATATCAGACGCGACGTAATGATTTCGCCGCGCTTCTTAAGGTGCTTCTTCAAATACGTCTTGACGCACTCGAAGCTAAAAAAACATTTCCCCAAAGAACTGAAGACTATAACGCTGATGCAGGTGAGTTCCTGCGACTGTTTGGCCCAGTTTTCAGCCTCGTGACATTTTAGGCCTACCAATAGCTGTGGAAACTGTGTTCCGAGAATCTGGATGTTAGCGAGCTGGCTGACTTGCAGCTCATGTCATATATCGTGTACCTGATGCCATCGCCTTCAACAAGTTGCAGCCAAATGCGCGCGTCGCTATTGCAGCGCAGCTTTAGTGTGGTGCCCACGCTGGAGCCGTCGCTTGTGCACTACTTTACGGAAAGGCTAGTAAAGCGCTTAGGGACCAATAATACGCCACCGTCCAGGGGTAACCTCCTGCTTAATCTGTCCCACCTGCTCGCCAACACGGGCGGCGTGGGCCGAGCAGTATCCGTGTGCCTGCTCTGGAGCTTGATTTTCAACGCGGCCAATGTGAACCCTATCATCCATCAGTACCACGATGTGAGCAGCTTAATCTTCTTGGATCAGCCTCTCTGGTTAACTGTGATCTATTTCTAGCTAAGCGAGCTCTTCCCTTTGCTGTATCTGGTGCCCGTGGAGGACCTTGGGAAGATCAACTTCGAGGAGCTGCTGGAGAGCGTGGCTGCTCTGTTGCACCGTCAGTTGTGCTGTTCGGATCTGACAGAGTTCCACCGCTATGGCTACTCATCGATGTACTTCCGCATCCAGCCGATGGACGTGCTCCGGCTGCGTGACTGGCTCATCCGTTCGCTGAAAACGGCAGGCATTCAACGTCCGGGAATCGCAGCCAGGCGGGTGCAGTCCGCACTGAACTACATGGATCTGCATTCGGCTTCCTGGTGCCTCGTGTGCCGTAACCAGGGGGGCGCATTCTCCGGCGATTGCGTGCTCGCAGGAACTAATATCTAGAAGAGAAATTTTAAAAATTGGGCTGAAGTAGGCCTTGATTTCCGGAGGAATTTCAGCCTGCCGTCAAAACACGGCTGTCAACTTTAACCTGATAATATATACATAAAGTTTTAAAGCAAGTAGCAAACACTAGCCGACTGCAAATCCTGATCCAAATTTTAGTTCCTATTTTATAAAAGCGTTGAATCTGCGCATGTTTCGAGCATTTCTCCATCCGAGCATGAAGCGGTTGTCCCGGCGGCCTGTTTCTGATGAGCAGAAGGCCCAGGCGCAGGCTCACATGCTGACCCAAAATGAAGACCAAAGCCGTATAGAGGTCTTCCTGTCTGTGGCCACCGTCTCGTCGCTGCATCAAAGGGAGGCGCGGCAGGAACAGCCTGCGCGGCAGGTAGAGCCAGAATCTCAGCCGCAGAATCAACAGCAGGACAATGAGCAAGACAGGGAGCTGGAGCCAGAAGTTCTCGAGAGCGGCGCCCAGGGCGACAACGAGCAGTCAGACAATGAGGCGGGGCCCTCCCCCTCAGCGCCTATCCATACCAGCGAGGGGCAGCCCGATGTGGGCGATCCTGCCCGGCTAAAGGCGCTGGCCGGGCGACAGCAGATCGCCAGGCTGCTCACCCGTCTCGGCGACGGCGCAGAGGGTGATGGCGAGGCCAACCAGATCGTGATGGAGCTGCTCGGTAGCCGAGACGATTCCCCGCCCCGGCCGCCGCCTTCGGCCATAGAACGCGTTTCCGAGCAGCTGCTTCGAGTGCTGCGGGAGCAGACGCTGTTAGAGGCAGGCATCGCCACCGGCAACGAACGGCACCGCTGCTTCAAGTGTGTATTGCAGAACTATGCCAAGATCTACGCGGCGCGTCGCTTCATGGAGCAACTGCCGCAGCTAGGTCAGCTTGGCCAGGACGCGGATGTAGAGCAGGAGCTGCTGGCCCGCGTCATGGCAGAAGAGGTGCTGCAGATACCGGAGCTGCTGCGCCAGCTCTGGTCGTCGCTGGAAAAGATGGAGTTCTTCAACGAGGATACCGCGTTTAAGGCCTATCTGGAGGCCCGGCGCAACCCGCAAGCACGCATCCTGTGCGAACTCATGCTCACTCGGATCTCTCGCGTCTTCCTTTGCATTGTCAGCTCCACATTCTTCCTGGACTTCACTGAGCATGAGCTTACGCACATTCTGCGAAACTGCTACCTCAGCGTTAACTCGGAGATCGAGGTGAGATCGTAAAATCAGTAACCCTCTGTTACACTGGGATTGACATCAATCCTTCTCTGCAGATATTCCTCTCTGTGGTGCTCTGGCTGGAGCACAACTGGTTTGAACGGGGTGACTGCGCTGAACGCATTATGGCAGAGGTGCGCTTTGCCCTGATGCCCACCTGGTACCTGTGCACATTGGACAGGGCCAACCGCTGCCGTCACTTTTCCCGGGTGATCCACATCACCGGAGTGCAGCGCATGATAACCCAGGGCCTAGAGTAGGTACCATTTTTGGGGCTTAATTGTTTAACCAAACCTTTTTCTTGCTTTCCCCCAGGGATGCCGTGACCCTCAAGAGTAAGAAACGCTTCAGCGCTGCCGCAGGACGACCCACCACAGGCCATCCACAGGCCAAAGAGGAGGCACACCTGGCCCGCGACTGGATCGCAGATACTGAATGCCGCCACCACCACAAGCGCCATTGCGAGCGATTCGTTTACCCGACCTACGACGTGTTCAAGGAGTACCTGGCCAGGATTATCTGTTGCGCTCCCAACTATTGGCGCAGTTTCCGGCCCGCCCAGGAGGTGTACCGCAGCGACTTTCGCTGCTGCTCGCCGCCGCACTTTAACTAGGCCCGTCCTTGTATCCGTCCCTCAGATCTCCTTGTCCCGCTCGCTTTTGACTCTGCGGCTTAAATTTTACGTGCGAGGATGTTTGTTTGGAGGATGAGAATCTGTATGTCCCCCGTCCATGGATCCTTCCTGTGTCCACTGTACTTTTAGCAATCCGCTTAAAAGCTAAGGTTCTGACGGCCTGTGATGTTCCGCATGTTTCCAATCAGTCGCCGCCGCTGATGCAGCGCCTTAAGGCAGTTGCGACTACTCGGCAGAAAACGATCCAGCTGGATCCGCAGAAGCATCACTCATCGCCTAACACATTGGCCAAACCAAGAGCCAGAATAATAAAAGCATTATTAAAAAATTAGAAGCGGCGAGAAAGCGTAAATCTCAGATCCTTCAGCTGCCACCAGTATTTTCGCTGCGAAAAATGGATGATTTTTTGAACCCAAACACCAGGCCAACAGAAATCAGCGGTAGGTATCCAACGTTTGGTTTTTCGTTTATCTTAGAGATGTACGCGTGCCTATTTATTTCGGAGCGCCAACAACAAACACAAGGGGCTTTCGTGTTTTCTCGTGCTTTTCGTGCCAAACTCGTGAGATGCACAAAGAAACAACGTGGTTTCCCATCTCTAGCCTGCGCTTAGCTTAGAACCAACGGTTTTATTCCAGAGATTTTTAATGATGGCCGATTTGTCTGGCAGCCATCATGGAAAAAACAGCTGATCGCACAACACTTGCTTTGGACGCTGGCTACTTGCTGTGCATTTCTGTTCGCTTAGTACTTCAAAATGGTAAGTTGCCCAGTTTGCATGGGAAAAATTTGGTTTGGCCGGTCCATTTCGACGGGCAAATTTAGATTTATCGGCTTGCAACACCAGGCAAACATAAATCAGCAGTAGGTCCCAGCGTTTGGTTTTTTTCGTTTATCCTAGAGATGTACGCGTGCCTATTTATTTCAGAGCGCCAACAACAAACACAAGGGGCTTTTGTGTTTTCTCGTGCTTTTCGTGCCAAACTCGTGAGACGCACAAAGAAACAACGTGGTTGCCCATCTCTAGGCTGCACTTAGCTTAGAAGCAACGGTTTTATTCCAGAGATTTTTAATGATGGCCGATTTGTATGGCAGCCATCATGATAAAAACAGCTGATCGCACAACACTCGTTTGGGGCGCTGTCTACTTGCTGATCATTTATGTTCGCCTGGTGCTTCAAAATAGGAAGTTGCCCAGTTTGCATGGGAAATATTTGGTTTTGCCGGTCCAAGTTGACGACCAAATTTAGATTTATCGCTTTGCAACACTAGACGAGCATAAAAATTAGTGGATACGTAATATCAGTTTTCTGCGTTAACCAGCAAAGCTACAACAAAAAACCCTTAGAAATGGGGTTTTAAATCAGGAAAAATGCACCTAAATTTTCGTTTTTTTGATTAAAACCCTTGGAACTAATGGTCCGATTTTGGAAAGTCATACCTCGTTGAATTCGTTACAAAATTTCCAATCGATTGGTATTCTCAGCTAAAAAATTTAATTTTGGGCCAAATTTGGAAAAAAATCAAGTATCAAAAATGCGAAAATCGGTCAAAAAATAAAATTTACCAAATCCACCTGGAATCGATTGTGTAGGTTGTCAGCTACACAGAACAGTCATTCTTTTCGGTAAAGCTACAACAAAAGAACCCTAAAAAAATGAGATTTAAATACATGTTTTTGATGGCCAAGATCCGGAAAAAATCAGCTTGATTTTTCGGTTTTTTGATAAAAACCATTATTTGGTCAGATCTGGGTATGTCATAGCCCATTTTGCCATTTTGCTTTTAAATCGCTTTTTGGGGATGTTTGACTCCCAAATCCCTGCAATTGGGTACGACTGCGCCCAAATGCACGCAACACAAAATTAAAATTCCAGAGCGCCACGATCGTCCTTTACGAGCGCTCCTGCAAAGTTATTCAGGACGGCCTGCCCAAAAGTGGGCAACTCAAATACAATATGCCATTGCGGAAAAGCGCCATCTATGTTTGAGATATAAGTGAATTCAGCGAGCTTCTGTCAGTAGGCACAAGGATCGCCTGCCCAAAAGTGTGGGATTCCATTTTCAGCAAAAGCCTGTGAATCCAACAGCAACACGTCAAAAGCAGCTTTGAAGCAACTTAAAACAAAACTATCCAATTCAACATAAATAAATGTTTATTAAATTCCAAATAACAGATAAATAAATAATTGTAATAATTGTAAAATGTGGTACATCTGAGAACTGAGAGTTAACTTAACTTAAAAACTGAGACTGTGGCGATTGAAAAGATTGTACACTTATTTTCCAAAAACCATTGTGCAAAAAATGTTCCTTAGATTGCTCGCTCTTGTGCGTGCCCTCGTTTGGCAAAACTGGCATACACATAAATGCTCCATTTTTTATTTTTGCCATTATTAGGGAATATGGTAAGCACAATTAAAATACGATGAGGAAAGCCACTTTGCTGGTCCTCCTACGTGCCTGTTACTTAGGGCAGCCCCATCCTGGCCTCGTCATCGTCCACCAGCCACTTGGCGATCGACAGCCGTCCGTCGACGTTGGCGCTGCACAGACGCTGCTCGAACTCGCCATACGAGATTTGGTCGCAGCCATAGAGCCCGAAGGCCTGCTGCTCCAGGAGCTGCAGTTCGGCCTCCACCTCGGGCTTGTGGTCCTCGGCCCGCTCAGGTGGTTCGCCCTCGCGCTCCTGATCCTGCTGCTGATTGCAGACGGGATCGAGTAGGCTGCGCATGATCTGGCGGAAGTCATCGCGCGTGATTCGGCCGCTGCGTCGGGTGTCGAACATCTTGGAGAGGAGGCGCAGCTTCTGGGCGCGCCCGTCACGGCGTCCAAGCGAGCCGCGGCCGAACTGGGGCACCAGGAAGGTGGCGCAGGTCTCCACGAACTGGGTGAACCCAAGGCGAGCGCCGGCCTCGCGGCTGGGAAAGAAGCCGTCCACGATCTGGCGGTGGAGCGGATTGAGTGAGAGCTGGGGAATGCGCAGCAGATCGGTGGGCGTCAGGTAGCCGCGCTGATGGCGATCCAAACTGCGGAACCGCGTGTGCAGCTGCTCCAGCTGGTCGGAGGACAGGCCCGTGGCCTGCTGGTGGTCACCCAATTGGGCGGGATTCAGCTGGCGACTTCCCAAAGCTCCCATACCGATCTGGTTACAGTGGCTTGAGTTGCTCCAGTTCTGGGACATACAGGAAACCTGATAAAGTAGTTGAGTTGAAATGTCGTACTGACCTAACAGCAAATACGAGGATAACTAACGACATCCGGATTGGGGGTTCCAAAAATAGTAATATCGAAGCAGGGCATTCATTCGTATATGCTATTGGTGCCATGGTACGTTCAATAATCTGAAAGGTAAAAAGAACTCGAAACATTTAACGGGTTAAAAGTGAATCGTAAGCAGATTTATATGTAGTTTGTATTTGTTTAAGTCTCAGGTCGGAGATCCAGCTGGTGGCAGTGGGAAATATATTTGTGCGTCCGACCTTGGGGAAAACGAAATCGAAATAAGAGAACTCTCTTGGCATTATTTCTGTGTCATTTTCATTTGCTGACTTTTGCAAAATACCGCATAAATCAAAACGGGCGCTGTCAAGGCCGCAGGTCGGCCAGGGAGAGGCACAGCCACTTCCGCGCCATCGTCGCCTTTGACGCACTATCACTACATCGAGAGTGCTATATCTTCAGACCGCTCTTCAGCCGCCCACGCCACCTGATGCCCCCCACAACACACCACCCCACTCCATCCCAGGGGCGGCGAAGACGCCACGGTGCGTGCGCCTTGGCCGGCTGCCAGTTGCCCCTCGCCTGCCTCCCCGATGTCCCCGCAACGTAATTGGCCTGCTTTCGATGCGATTTTGTCCGCTGGCAAGGCTGGAGGGCAAGGTGAAGTGTTTATTGTACAATCAAAAATAAAAAAGAGACCGCGCATAACAAGTTTAAAGCGCCTTTAGAGAAACTTCTCCCGAAAATAAAATAACTATTTTAAACTTAATAATATTCTTAAATTACTGATTACTGCTATGAAGCATAAGCACTTTTAAACGGGTTAATAACATAAGTCGTAAAAATATAGTATTGATTGATCCAATGTATAATCATTTTTCGTCACAAAAATTGATTTCGATTCGGAACTATATATCCTAGCTATTTTTATGTTAGGGTGTTTTTTAACGGTAAGTGGTAGAAACTCGATATAATACATAAAATAAAATAAAATACATTCCAGGACTCATAAACCGCGATTTAGTTCAGATAGTCGTTTTGTTAAACAAACAAACTAGACAAACATTTTAATTTCGGAAAAGCTTCGACCCCGTTCTACGCAACAACTCAAATATAATTCTACCTCTACAATTTTTGAAAGTTTTCAGTTTCATAATTTCAATGCTGTTCCTTCAGTTTGAATTGATTTTATTGAAGTCTCTTTTCGATTGTACCATAATAAAATATCTCAAATACTGCATACATAATAGTCAATTCTCGTATGGCGGCAAGGGTGTATAGACTTCGGTTTGCCGAAGAGTACTTCCATTATTGACATAATGCCCCATATAATGTAGCAACCACTCACAGCTTTAAGCCGTGAAAGCACCCAACGTAAGCCACGATGATTCAGATCCCATACGCTACCCCTGCGGCCTAATGACAAACAAATGGCTATGGCCATTGCAATTGGCCCGACCTCTGTGGCTGTGATCGAGCATACAAATTACGAATATGCTTTGCATATAGAATCGCGCGATCCAAACGATTCTAAAAATACGTACAGAAAAACTCTTACATTTGACGATCACCGATTCCACTTGCAGCTGAGTAATGCGCAGAAATGTGTATGAGAAGCGTTTTTCTTCTCAACATTTTGAAGGAAAACAAGAAAGGAAAGCTAACTTCGGGCGGAGCCGAAGTTGAAATACCCTTGCAGAATATTCTGCAAATTATATTCTCCAAAATTATTCATATGATGCATTTTTAATACTCATAAAAAATCCCACCTTCCTAACTTTAAAAACACCAAAGTTATTTCATTTCCGATCAATCAGTTATATGGCAGCTATAGGATATAGTCGGCCGATCCTTATGAAATTTAATATGTCGAATTGATTGGGCACAAATAAAACCCATAGAAAATCCCAACTTCCTAACTTTACAAACACCAAAGTTATGGCATTTCCGATCAATCAGTTATATGGAAGCTATAAGATATAGTCGGCCGATCCTTATGAAATTTGGTAGGTCGGATTGATTGGCCAAATATAAAACCCATAGAAAATTCCAACTTCCTAACTTTACAAACACCAAAGTTATGGCATTTCCGATCAATCAGTTATATAGCAGCTATAGGATATAGTCGGCCGATCCTTATGAAATTTGGTACGTCGGATTGATTGGCCAAATATAGAACCCACAGAAAGTCACAACTTCCTAACTTAACAAACAGCAGAGTTATGGCATTTCCGATCAATCAGTTATATGGCAGCTATAGGATATAGTCGGCCGATCCCGGCCGTTCCGACTTATATACTGCGTGCAAAGGAAAGAAGGGTGTGTGCAAAGTTTCAACTCGATAGCTTTAAAACTGAGAGACTAGTTTGCGTAGAAACAGACAGACGGACAGACGGACAGACGGACAGACGGACATGGCTATATCAACTCAGGAGGTGATCCTGATCAAGAATATATATACTTTATAGGGTCGGAGATGTCTCCTTCACTGCGTTGCACACTTTTGACCAAAATTATAATACCCTCTGCAAGGGTATAAATATAACTCGTATATGAGGAAAAAAATAATGAAATATGCGAGGCACATGCACATGCCGCCGGCTGTCCGCTACCTCATCCGTTGTATTTCTTTCCCGAGGCTGAGAGTAAAATCGACGAAATGCCCGGCGAGTGTCAAAAACGCGTCAAGATCAAAGCGAGCACAAAATTTCACCAGCCAGTTGCCAAATGCAACGATAAATTGGCCACACTAGACAACAACAGCAATAATATGGGTGGGTCGTCATTAAATACTCACGTTCGGGGTCGCAAGATTAGCTCCTTTCTACTGTCGATGCTGCGTAGTCCTTGCGTTTCGTCCTTGTCAGTTGGTGTCTTGACAGCAGCTTACCATATTACCATATTACGTTCGGAATATGGGCTTGGTTTTCAAGTTCCTGATTCAATCCCGATCTGCTTGGTTATAAACATCTTGACGCTATCATTTCCACCATCACCGTCCGCAGAATTCATCGCTTTCCTTTGGCGCGCACGAATTGCATAAAATGTTTTTTGTTGGTCCAACAATTTGCGGCCCACTGCTGCCATATGTCCGAGGCCCGATGTTCGAATTCTAGTGAGTCAGGCAGGCGGGCGATGGATTGGATTCGACTTGCTGATGCCATTACTGCAGCGGTATAATGAGACAAGTTTAATGCATTTAAATTAACTCGATTAGCGGACGAATCTGGGAGTGCAGCCCTGAGGGGCGACGCTTTCCATATGGCACTCCCGCAACCTAGACGCTCCAAGGCCCCTTGTCCTCCGGTGCTAATCTGTCATCGAAAGGCTAATGGACTCATGCAAAATATAATACGACTTCAAAATAAAGTTTTTGGTGAGAGATGATGAAACTGGTACCGATCGAACAATTTTACGGAAAATCGGAATAGCTTCATTGTTTTTAAACATTTACGGATAAAATCGATGTTTTTGTATTAGCTGCAAGGATTCACATATGTATAAACTTCGGAATATGAAATTTGGCTTTCTTTTTTGTTTTTTAAAAATAAAAATTGGTATCAGATTTGTATACAAAAAAAGGTGCTATTACCAAAATCCAATCCCTACTAAGATATATTCATGTTACTTTGCAAGTGCAAAGGGTCAAACTTGATTTAAGGCACATAAGTAGTTCTTTTAACCAATATTGCATACAAACATTATACAAAATACAGTCACCGCCAGCGAATTGGCTTTTGAAAAACATTGAACAATTATTTTGTTTTCCTAATAGAAGCTAGGATAAACTCTATAAAGTACAAGATTTCTACACCTTTGCATTGCTTTTATGTGCTACCACCCCAACCTACGATTCTTTGGACGAAAGCAGAAAAAACAATAATATAATAATCAAAACATTTTAAGCGCCTCTCAAGGTTGTCCACTGGCAAACAAGTATCGTAGTGTTCGGATGTTTTGGGTTTGGGGTTTGGGGTTCGGGGGAGTGTTGGTAGTAGAATGGCGAATGCCCTGTTGCAACAACAAAAGCGGCGACACAAATTTAACAATAACAAAAAGTGGAAGGGCGAGGAAGGTGGGGGTAGCGCCACACAAAATAAGCAAATGACAGACAACAATTTGTAGAGCGACGCTATTTTTTACATTTTGCTTGCGTTCTTTACCCCCTCCGCTTTTTCGCCTTTGTTGTTCTTGTGTTGTTGATTTAGCGTTAGTTTTGATTAATTAATTTCCTGACTAATTCATCCACAATGCGCGACTCGCTGGAGCCGCAGCAAATGTGCCAAAAAAAAGAGAACGTGGAGATGCGGAGGGGGACTGGGTGGAGACAGGGCAGCGGGACCGCGATGAAACGAAAGTAATTGCGAATAATTGGAAATGATTGCGTTTTGCTTTTTGGGGTTGCGAAAAATTCTTTATTAGAGCAGTGCAGCAAACTCAAAAGCAGATGGAAAATGCACTAAATAAGTTAGGTATGCTGGTTTTTTACTAATAACTTGAATAAAAGAAAATAAGTCATTATAAATGCAATAGCAATAGAATAGAATTCGGAAAAAATTGAACTCTTTTTTCGGTTTTTCGACCAAAACCCTTATAAATAATGGTCAGATTTTGGAATGTCATACCTCGTTGAATTCGTTACAAAATTTCCAATCGATTGGTATTCTCAGCTCAAAATTTGTATTTTTGGCCATATTTGGAAAAAAATCAAGTGTTACCCCTTATCAAAAATGCGAAAATCGGTCAAAAAATAAAATTTACCAAATCCACCTGGAATCGATTGTGTAGGTCACCAGCTGCACAAAACAGTCATTCATTTGACTGTGCGTCTTATTTTGGCAAAGTTGCAACAAAAAACCCTTAAAAAAGGTGATTTAAATATATGTTTTTGATAGCCAAAATCCAGAAAAAAACAGCACCTTTTTTCCGTTTTTTAATCAAAACCCTTGGAAATAATGGTCAGATCTTGTCAGAATGTCATATCTCGTTGAATTCGTTACAAAATTTCCAATCGTCTTATTTTGGCAAAGTTACAACAAAAAACCCTTAAAAAATGTGTGTTTAAATATGTGTTTTTGATGGTCAATTTACGGAAAATGCAACTCGATTTTCTATAATTTTATATCTCGGAGTATATGTTAAGACACAACGAAATTATAATTTTATTTTCCTTTTTTCACAATTCCTATGGGAGATATATGATATATACCACCTACAACAGAAAGAGGAATATGTTTCATCCAAATAGCTTTTAAATTGGGGGCCTAATTTGGACAGACGGACATAAGGACATAAGGACATACGGGCAGATAGTCGGGCGTGGCTGGATCATCTCGGTTATTGGTCCTGATTAAGAATTTATGCTTTATAAGCTCGGAAATTTCTTCTTCACTGCGTTACAAATTTCTATCAAACACTATTTGTAAATTTGGCGATGATGACTTTGGCGAAAATGACAAATTTGACAATTACCATTAGTTGACTCGGGTGTTCTCGTGTTAATGTCGGACGGCTATCGAATCATCGCTTTCGCTGCTCGGCAGATGGTTACGAGCTTTGCCGCAGACTGATTGGCTGGAGATTCAGCGGCTAAAAATAGTTGTCTTGGCCTGCGCTTGAAACTACGAGCAATGGGGAAGGTAAATTTATTAGATAGGCGACTTGGGCGAGCGCTTCTATAAATATTTGCCCAACTAACCCAACGATCCGTCCAACGATCTGAGTATTATGAATATTATCGACGTCGCACCGCCGTTGAGTCATGCGCAAATAACTTGGCTCATTAAAAATTCAAAGCCAGCACACCACCACACCACTCCTTCCTCCCCCATCGCGACTCGCCTGTGGAGTAACATAAAACCACCGTCCAACGCTGCCATTCAAATGCAAATGAGCTTAATCAAAAGCAGAGCTGACCGCTCAGACGCTCCGGCTTTTTGGCCAGGCCCAAAGTGCCAGCTAGTGATGCGCACTTTAATATTTCCTTTTCACGATGGGCGCTTTTGAAAATGCAAACGATTGTCCATCGATCACATTCAAAACCTTTTAAATCGTACACAAGTTCTCCAACCGATAGCATCATTTTACCTGACTTACCATCATTTTGTATAACATTTTCAATGTCTTTCTCTCAAGATCTCCCGTACCTTTATCTTGGTAAGACCTAAAAAAAAATAAAATGATATCTCAATAACTATATTTGGCGACTGATTCACCATTTACATACTTGGAAAGCTTTTGAAGGAAAAATCGAACGGTGTAGCAATCCAAACGAAAGGTAAAACATTCGCTTAAATTGAAATATATTTTTCTAACAACCTCCACGATATCTTTGCCTCACGACTCGTGATTTACGAACATCTCCCTTTTGAAAAGAAGACAATCGCCGGGTCGGTTGACAAGTTGGCACCTCAGCGGGACTTCGGGCAGGGGTCCGTCGTGCTAGGGTGTTAATGAAAACAGCAAAACGGTTTAATCACAAAATATATTTGATTTGCATATAAATTATTATAATTGTGAATTTGTGTGTGTGTTTTCTTAGCAATATCAAAGTGGACAATCCACTGCAAACTTGGTCAAAGGCTCTAATCAGCTTATTTATAATTTTTTTCGAACTTCAGCGCCCAGTTTCAACACCGGCAAAAGGTGGTTTGAGAAATAAAGGATTGGGATTGGGTTTAACACAAAGTGCTATTAAATATGCGTTTACTTAAAGTAATTTTTTAAATTTGAATTATTTTTTTTCTATATTTCTAGAAAATGGCTCAGAAGAAAAATGGCCTAGACTTTCGGCCATAACTTGAACAATCGCATTTCAAAAATGTATTATTTCCAATATCAATGTGTTTAAGTTAATTTAGAAAAAGGAACTATGGGTTGGGACTCATTTACTTACAAAACTAAAGGTGTCGTGAAAAAGCTTGACTTTAACTTAGCTTTGGATTTGTAAAAAAGGTCATGAACACTTTTAAAATCATTGAAAGCTCGACCTAAAACACATTGATATTTTGGAAACTATTTCCTTTTGTTTCTTTTATACAATTTTATTTTTAAAGTTATTGTTTCAAGTTTTAATGACCGCCAAATTAAAAAATTACCTATATTGGCCTTAAATTGGCCATTTAATTTGAGAAAGTTATTGAGTTTTAAAAATATTGGAAAACAACTTTTAGTCTAACAAATAGTAGTCGACTGTCAAACACTAAAGCTCTTTGCTAAAAAGTTAGTCACTACACAACTTGTTACAATGTGTGTGAAAATTGGAGTACAAATACTTGAGATGGAAGCCAAGGGGAGTGAAGCGGAAAACCCAAGATGGTGCTGCACACCTACGAGACACAGACAGAAGCCCCTCCCCTTGCCACTCCGGTTGGCTATGGCCTATGGCCGTACACCCTCGCAGATAGCGGACGATCGTGAAATCATTTGGCGAAAATAGCGACAATTACTTAATGCAATTAATAAATTCAAGCAGGCAACTATTGGCAATAAATTATAAGCCCGCCGGCTGATAAAGACCTGGGTCGGCAGATCGATCGGCGGCCGGACGAATCGTTGGTAAAGAGTTGTAATTGCTAATAATAACCGAGGTCCGAGGAGCGAGGACCGACGAAATCGCGATCGGAACTGGGGGCCGCGGATTGGCCGGCTGAGACGGGTTATCGCCCGCCAATCGCCGGACTGATTGATACGCGGCACTAGGGGTGGAAGGGTGGAAGGGTTTGGGGCCTAAACACCCGATTAGATTGCCACATTAAGTCATGCTCTATATGGGGGCACGATCGCGATCGCGATCGCTCGCAACTTTTTCGGTTACTTTCCGAAGAGGATTTCCGTGGTTATTTTATTGTCATCACTTATTGCATTCTTTATCAGAGAGCGTGACTTTTCATTTATGGGTAAACACTTTAATAAAAGGGTATATTCCTCTTCAGGTACGACGAAGATAAATAATACAAAAATATCATTCGAAAATCAGACTACTGCCAATGAAAAAATGGGGACAAAAAATAAAAGAAATATATTCCGGGATATAGTGGTTTTTTAAATTTGGAAATTAAGATTTTATTTTTGTAAAAAGCGGGCGATATAGCTGTCAATAGAAGGGTCGAAAAATGTACATATGTGCATAAAAATGAAAATTGATTCATTCTATGGAATAGTAGGTAAATAAACTTCGGAAGTTGTAATCTACAAATGACTGTTGACATTTTTTAATTATATTAAAATTACTATAGTTGTTACTAAAAACGTAGTAATCAAGTTATGAGTTTTGTTTTATATTGCCTCTTACTTCCTACTTTACTTTTTCAGCTGAAGAACTCGTAGTCCTATATTTATTTTAGATGTACGTTACCAAAACCACGACACTTCTTGATTAAGGTCAGTTCACAAAAATGTTTACTCGGTTGATACTACATCGGTCGCTACTAAATACAAATAAATAAGCATGTACACTGCCAAATTAAAAAACCACTACACGGCCAAATGAATTAAATATTGTAATCTCCATTCCAATTATATTTCACTCAGAGTTCACTTGTAGGTTGGGGATATGATTCACTTCAATTGAGAACATTCCAGTGGTTAACGGTCGCTATCAGCCAGGGGCGTTGCGCAGGGGTTCGACTACCCAGCCCCCCGTTTTCCCACGCAACCGACGCATCTGAGGCCTGAGCCTTATCAGTGGAAAACTACTCCAAGCTTCGGTGTTCTTAGCAGCGGCGGTGTGTCCGTTGAGTCCGCTTCGTCCGCTCTACTTCCTCTTGGCCTCCGCCGGTAAATATCAAACGGTTCCATCTATACTGGGACTGAGTCCCCTTGAGCTTCTGCCGACTTCCCCAGCCCCTCCTCTTCTGTCTCAGAACTTGAGCGGGCCAACCGCTTAACCCCGACGAAATGATATAGGTCTTCGGTCCGACACATATTCTCGTTTAAGCGTTCTGCCCTACAAAGTTGTAGTTTAAGTTTCTATACTTATTTTTTTAGATCTAAGGTAAATCTGAAATAAAGACTTTTCAGCTTTATGATTAAATATTATTAATACTATTTATCAGAAACTAGTTACTATAGTTTCCAATTTTCCTATTGACATGGATTTTCTGTAGTTGAAGACTTAAAATACATCTGCACAAAACCATTTCAACAGAAAAATTCCATAATTCTCGTGCAACCCCACCAAATCCTCAATTGAACATACACATGACATTTTTAGGGTTGTGCCCAGTCCACGCAACAGACACCGTATATCTGAGATCAAAAGGGAAAAGTCGGGATCTGGTGGGACTGGGTCTGGGTCTGGGTTCTAGCAATCGTTCGTTGACGCCATTAACCACACGCCGAGCCAAATCACATACGCAAATATGCTGGGCCACCCCTTACATCCCTTACACCCCCTCTGAAGTGGCCGTTTCCCCTTCACTTAAAAAAAAGGCAGCGGCTGTCCGTTGGAAAAGATTGGGGAAACCTGTGACCAGTGTCCTTGGAGTGGTTGAATTAATTGCGTAGCGCACGCCTGCCTGGCGACCACTGGTGGCCATCGCAGATGGGTTGTGGGTTGTGGGCGGTGGGCGGTGGGAGTTCTTGTGCACCTCGGCCCACACAATAAATGAGTTTATGCCCTAGTCCACCGGTGACGCCGGCCGTCCCGCACATTCAGTCCCAGTTTGAGGTCCTTCGTTCCCAGTTTTAAGTCCTACATCAGTGTAGCAGCATTTGGCTATTTTTTGCTAATGCTAAAAAAGATTCATATTTATAAACAATAATCTTAAAAACAAATTTTGAAAATTCACAACTAAATTTAGTAAAGCCAAACACTACATTATATAGTTCACAGTCCAAGCTTTAATAATTATTTAAACATACTAACTGATACTAATGATGAAATAGGTATTCATTGGACTAAATAGTTGTTTATTGTAAGTGGGAGTCGGTCAAGGATATTTGGTGGCCTTATGGCCTTAACAATTAAACTCCTTTTTTTTTCGAAAGTATAAGCTGACTTTATAAGCTGGCGTTCCAATGACACCATTTCCCAGTTTTGAAGAGCCCTTAACCTATTGACATTAGATTGTTGTAATATGTAAGAGTGCAAATATTTAAAGTTAAAATATTTACATTTCTTTAATTCGTTTTCTTTGTTTTTGGTCCATCAAAGAAAACTGTTCCCTGGTATTTGGAACATAAAGCCAAACCAAGAAGTAGTTTCAAAAAATGTGTATATCACAATAATAATGAAAGTTGGAAATTATAAGAAAAATTCTATTAAAAAGTTTTTCGGATAATTTTAAGGAACACTACTTAAGTATGACAAATTATTGTTATAGTAGGAAGAATTAAGAAGTGTATACTGCTCATACATACACCCACTATAAAAGTCCTTACAATCACGAGGTATTGTTAAGGAACAAGGAGACACTTGTTCGGTTTGAATTTGAATTTAAAATTGTTACTTAAAAATATCCTAGCTATTGGAATTGCTAGACAGAGCAGCACTGCTGACACCCTGCATATCCCTGTCCGTTGTCCGTTCGTCGATGTCCGCCTGTTCGCGAACGCGTGTTGCTCGCCGAGTACATAAAACTGGCGCCAGAAGTCTGCACACAAAATGGCGGCCCACTTGGCCAGGACCTGGACTGAGGGCCACCCACGGTACCACCACCAACCATCCGGAAGGTCCCAGGACCGAGCTCCGGCAATGTCTCCATCGGCGGCGTTGTTTCCCTCCCCGCCATTCGCTTTATTATACAATCGTAATTTGGTATCGTAAAAGCGGGCGTCGAAAAAATGTGAAAGAAAGTTTTCGTGTTGCGTGCAGGACCTCGCCCCATGGTTCTTTTTTTTCGGAATAGTGGTTGGAGTTTTCGGAGCGTGGGGCAGCCCCGTCAATCGATACGAAGTAGATCCAAAACAATGCAGAGTTTCGCTTTCAAGGTATGCTTGGAAGAGCTTTCGGGTGTGGCAGTCTTGACCACAGAAATGGGTCACCAGTTGCCAACTGTCATTGTTGCCAGTTCTTCAGAGATATGATACAAGTTTGTAACAGTCAAAGGCTGGGATTCCCAGATTAGGTGCTTTAATGGTACTCTTAAAATGTTGCTAAAATACGACTAGCAGGCTCAATTTGTGGAACTATTTGATAAGCTGTCACAACGAAAAACCATATTGTAAACCAAGAAACCCATCAAATGAGATCATAAGTATAAGCTTAAAGGTGGATGATTCTTTTTTTCTAGCTTTTTTTTTAGAAGATGGCATAGTTTTGGTATACGGTTAAAAGTGGGCAAAAATATTAGCTAAAATACTTCAAAGAAGGGCGTTTCGAAACCCAAAGAACCACAACAAACTATAGGGTATCTCTGAATCGATGAGTCCCACCTTCTCACTTGAAATGGTTGCTGTTCTTAATGTCTGCTTGCTTAAATTATAATTGAAGTTTATAA